ACAAACAAGGTCAAACAACTTCTATACTTTTTTTTATTAGGCTCACTGTAGACGTCTCCTCTTGGTTTCCGATTTTTTCTTTCTCCTTGCGATTTCATTTCCTAAAATTAAAGGTGTTACTTTGATCTTGTCTCCTTTTTGCTGATATTACTGTTGCCTGATCCTCTCCGAGTTTGTTTAGGCAATATGCAAGGCTTTCACTAATCCTGTTTTCTTCAAGTCTCCTGTTCATTATATTTATTTCGGTTTGTGTATCGATGAACTCTAGGATCTTGCATTTCCTGGTATTTTCACCATATCCAGTAAACGTTTCTGTCAATTTCCAGTCATTTTCGTGTCCAGTCTGTGCAATGTGTTCTGCTATTTCAGATCTTTCTGTATCCATGTTTTAATAGTGTCTTTGATGTTCCTTGATTGGCAGACCTATTATTCTTGCTGTCTCACCAATATATTTCTGTCCACCGTTGCCGAATTTGATTGGATAAATTTCCGAGCAATCCAGTTTGTCAATATTATCGTGTTGCGTCGGCAGACTAGCGAAAAATGTTGCCTCCTCCTGTATCATCCCCTTGATATTCCATTCTCTTAGTAACGGTCGCAATTTTTGGCTCAATTCGCATGAACGCAGGCATATCCACTTTTGGTCGTCCTTGTGATTCCTGATCGAATTTTCATAACATCTGAGTTGAAATGTGCTCTTTATGATACCTAGATTTATTTTTATAAATTCTCTGTGGTACACGTTACTAAGGCAAATTCGTGTCAGTTTGTCCAACCCCTGGTCCTAGAAATCAGTGCCCATTAGTCGTAAGCTCCTGATGATCAAACTCCTCAGTAGTCATGGCGAGACTGAAAATTAAGGATTATTACCGCGTATGAATCCTTTTTGAATTGTCTCTTCAAGAGGTCCTCGTTAGAGAGCATTATTAAAATATCCAGAAAGAGTAATCTGTCATCCTCCTCCACCTCCATTGTGAGTTTAATTTGTTTATCAAGATCATTAATAAAAATAGGGAATTCATTCAAATTTTCCTTACCATGTGGCCAAAGTGCAAAGTAGTCATCCAAATATCGCATAATCATTCTTGGTTGTAGTGGCGACTTCTCTAATTCCATTTCAAATTTGTCCATCTATATAATAGCCAAAAGAGATGAATGTTGAGATCCCACCGGTAGTCCAAATATTTGCTCGTAGATATTGTCGAAATGTAAAATAGGTTGTCCTTACTGTCAGTCGTGTTATCCACTCCTGTATCCGTTCTATCTCCAGAATATCCTTTTTTCGCTCCAATAGCTTCAGCAGGGCACCTACCACTTTCTTGTCCGAGATGTTTGTGTACATGGATTGTACGCCGAAGCTTACCAATAGTTGCGTCCCCAACAGCTCAATGTTTTAAACCCTTTGAGAAAATGGTATTCGAGTGTCATTTACTTTTTTGAGCTTCAAGCAAATGAACTTCGTTAGTTTGTGTCGCTTCATGCTTGTTGTTGACGAATTTCCTTCCTTGTGTATCTTCGGTAGTGGATCGGCTGCCGGTGGTATTGCGTCATTTTTAATTAAAGAGTTCCATCTGTCAATTTCCCCGACATTATGCATTTCTTTTAGCGTATCCTTCAGTGTCCCGTTGATCTTCATGATTGGATCCTTCCTTAGCATTCGATAAGCGTTCCGGTTGCCTAGACCACTTTCCATTTTCTCCATGTACTCTTTCCTGTCCATTAACCACCGTTGCTCGTCCCTTATCCCTCTGAATAACTATTTTGTCATTCTGATGTAATTTTTTGCGTATACCCGTCAACCTGTTCCTGTGTATTGGCTCGCGATGTGCCAGTATCCATTTCCATCTCATGCTTTGTCTCTACTGGATATTTGTCCGATATGTTGACAAATTCCACAAGATTATTATAAAGAACGTTTCCTTCGTTACCTAGGGAAAAATTAAAGCCTTTCTTTAGGATATCTATGCTTTTAGAATCAAGAGGGATTGAGGATAGGTTTACTAATTTATCCCTGTCGTCGTTTGTAGCAGTTAATGCATTAAATACAGAACCATCAAAATTTGCTCGAATTGGCTTGATCCTGTGTTGTCTTATTATCCCATATCTAAGCGATATTTTGCCATGTCGTTTATTTATCAAATCCCGGACCCTTTGTTACTTCTGATCAGTCATATCCTGGGGTTTTTGAAAATCCTCCTGAGTTAGAACCCTGCCTACATCCTTCCTAAATTTAGACTTCATATCTATAAACGTAAATAGATTAAGCCTCTTAGTCTCGTAACTTTCCTCCAGTTTCTGGATGGAGGCGTGATAAAGCATTTCATTGACCGTGTCCGAATGACACTTCTTTATTAGGTTGCAGAATCCGCGAGCAATATCATAATGTTAGCAACAATTCAAAAAGATCTAATAGCAGGATTGACTTACAATTGTCTTCTTTGTCCGGCTGTAATCAGTGCACTATTTGGCAATCTTACTTCCATAGTTTAGTCTAAGGCAGTGATTCCCAAACTGTGCGCAGCGGCGCCCCGGGGAGCCAAAGCCTCTTTACAGGGTCGCCGCGAAATATTGTAAAAGCTTCAATTTGAGAAAATGTGCAGTGATTTGCAGGCTCATCCATCACATTAATTATTAAATATTAATTTAATGTTAATACAATTTTTAAAAATAATGAAGATACACGAGTTTTATTTATTTTTATCTCTTACTTACGAATAGTCATACTTAGGGTAGGGCTTCATGGAAAAATTTTAATTGAAAAAGGGCGCCGCGACTAGGAAAAGTTTGGGAACCACTGTTCTAAGGTATGAAGACCAATAAGGTGTGGCCTTTTGTATAGTCGCGGTCTCTTTTCATTGTATAGTGTTTATTCGACCTTGCTTTTCGCAACTTGATCGTATTGGCAAGTTCATGATGATCCGACTGGAAATTATCACGCATACTATGGACTCCGGACTAGATGCATTCCTGTAGATCTTCCTGTTAATACGACCAAGCTGCGGAAACAAGGTCAAACAACTACTATTCAACGAAAGGTGGCCGTGACCATAGAAAATGATACACCATCTTGGTCTTCATACCTTCGATTAAAAAGTTAAAGTTTGCCTAACCGATATCATAGTCTATATTGTAATGTTGCACAACAATATAATATTGAGGTTTGGTTTAGCCTTACTCAATTCTTCCTTGATAGCCAGATGCGTTTAGATTTTTGGATGGTGTAGAAACGAAAG